AAATAGCCTCAGTTTGAGGCTGCTCGTTCTAAGGCAACGGCTACGGATCAGCTCGAGGCGTGTCGCCTCAGCTTGATCCGCCGGCGGCGCACTGCGCAGTTAAAAGCCAAAACGTCTCCATTAAACACACGGCTCGGACTGAGGCGCCTTTGAGCACGGCACAGAAACCGACAAAATATGGCTCGGCACGCGGCGACGAATTTGCCTCGCGTCGCGGCGTGCCTCAGGTCGAGGCAGCGTCTCCACTTGCGCAGCCTCGGAGTGAGGCAGCCGCTCGACCCGAGGCTGCCTCTAGTGGATACGCGGCTTATTAGTTCGTCTGCCACGCGGGCGCCCTGAAATGTTTTTTTTTTAATAATGACTTTTTTTAATTTTCCCAGAGAGAGTCACCTGGATCCCACGAAACCCATTCCGGTAGGCGAGGGAGCACTGTTGGGTTTTTAGTGTGTAGGGCCGCCCCCTCATCCCGAGCAGCCGCTGAGCCAGTTTGGCTGAGCGGGTGGGCGGGATGTGGGGGAGGATGAGTCCCACATAAACCCGTCTCTCACCCAGGGGCGGGTATGCGTCACGCATTTTCCCAACACAAAAAAAAAAAGGTTTCCTAACCTAGTTCGGCAACGAATGCTACATTATTCAACTTAGTTTAAGACTAGCAAACCAGTGAACCAAATGTTCACCAAAACCTGATTTCTCGAAAACTGGAAGTGCTACGTTACTCAAATCCGGTTTGTAGTCTTATCAGACTATTCTTAACTTATAACTTAAATATTCTCTTTATCTATCTCTTACGGTTTGGCCGCTGAAACAGCACCACAGACAGACGGACTTGTCTAATAGATAAGAGATGCTTGAGTTGTAAATTGTAATTTAGTAAACTAAGCTAACTAATCTGAATAAATGTTTATTATTATTATTAACCTCAACTTAAAGTATAGAGGCGACACTCCGAAACAGCAATCAAAGTTTCGAAACGCAACTCATGCCGCCATGTAGATGGTTTCAGTTTGTCACATGTCGTTGATTTATGAACACCTACCAACATATGAGCTGTATAACAACCCTTTGTTTATGGTACGCATTGTATTCTCCATTAAAAACAAACTCCATTAAAGATAAAGTCTAGCTGTGGCTACAGTAGAATCTCTACTTACTTTGGGACTGAATAATTGTTGTGAGTTTGTCCTGCGTTGTGCATAATACATACATTGTGCATAATATTATAAGCATTTTAATATTTATTAATTAATTATTTAATTTAAATTTGAATTGAACTAACATAGTTTTAAGCTTCCATTGTTACTAACACTATATGGACTCTGGTTCGAAATAAAAATATATTATTTTTTATTTTATTACAGAATAAGAGGCTTTTCCCCAAAAATCTATCCCTGCAATATCTCATGACCTAATGATCAGTAAATAGTTGAATCGGTATTTCAATTGCCGTTACAATACAAATAATTCTAACCAAATATCAAAGGCGCTCCATTTTCTTGGGTCTGGTTGGTTATATCTTGATACTGTGTTTATTTTCGTCATAACAAACTACAAACCAGTAAGTGAAGAGAGGCAATTTTCACTACTTTTTTTACTCGACCTAGCGTCAACCATTTTAACATATTAGCTGGTATAATATCTAACTTTATACGAGTTCTGGAGTGGAGACTGCGTCTAGGCAAACGTAGTGTAGGTCCTCAGGCACGGTGGAGTGACGATTTGCGCAAGGTGGCTGGCAGGAGTTGGATGCGAGTAGCCCAAGATCGACCTGAGTGGCGTACAATTGGAGAGGCCTATGTCCAGCAGTGGACTTATGTAGGCTGTTGATGATGATGAATACAAAAGAAACTGATAGCTTCATTAACTTAACTTCTTAAGAACTGTATACCTTAAGTAAAAAACCGAATACATACAGTATAGTATAAAACCTTGTAACCAGTATAGTATAAGTTCAACCGTGTGGTTTTTAATTTATAAATTTAGTAATTCCATGACTGTTTTAGGCGGTTCTAATTGAAAATGAGTTGAGATTCAAATTCAGCAGGCTCAAAACCTCCGGACTGTAAAAATAAAGTAGTTTAACCGGATGCGTAATCTACCGTCATGTTCGCCAGCTCCTCATATAATATGATAACAATAATGATAAACGTGTCGTTTTACTTGATGTTTGCTCTTTTTTCTTTATGAATTACCTACTAATATTATAAATGTGACGAGGAGCTCGACGGCGCAAGTGGTTAGCGCGTTCGGCTGCGGTCGTTGAAGTTAAGCAACTTTCGCAGTGGTCGGTCATTGGATGGGTGACCAAAAATTTACTATCTTCTCCGTGCCTCGGGAGGCACGTTAAGCCGTTGGTCCCGGCTGCATCTGCAGTCGTTAGCACCCACCAATCCGCACTGGGCCCGCGTGGTGGGTCATGACTCAATCTCCCTATTCCATCCATAGGGCAGGCCTGTGCCCCAGCAGTGGGGACATTAATAGGCTGATGATGATGATTATAAATGTGTTTGTATGTTTGTTACTTAATCATGCAAACACTACTGAGCGGATTTTCATGAAATGTGGTACGTATGTAGTTTACGACCTGGATTGAGACATAGCATACTTTTAATCCCGGAAAATGTTAAGTTTCTGTAGGTTTCTCAAAAATCTAAATATTTACATTCACCATTCACCATTCTAAAGAATCTAAAGAAAATATAACTAGAAAAAAATCCACGCGGACCAGGCACTAGACGGGACTCTAAAAGAATTTCGACGCGGTCCGTGAGGGCCGCGGTAGCATAATTAGTCAGTGCATTCGCCCGGATTGCGAAGGGTGCGGGTTCGAGTCCCGTCTGCTGCCTGGACCGCGTGGATTTTTTTCTAGTTATATTTTCTTTAGATTTAAACATCAAACAGTTACATGCTTGTTCTTTCAAATGTTTAATACTTGTAAAAGTATTCATTTGACATTGTGGGTTACCTATAATGCGAAGAGATGGCGCTGCCTTGCAGCTTAAGAATGGCTAGAGGAATTTCGACGCGGTCCGTGAGGGCCACGGTAGCATAATTGGTCAGTGCATTCGCCCGGATTGCGAAGGGTGCGGGTTCGATACCGTCTGCTCCCTGGTCCGCGTGGAACTTTTTCTAGTTATATTTTCTTTAGATTTAAACATCAAGCAGTTACGTGCTTTAAAAATAAAAAAGTAAATATAACATTCTAAAGAACTACAAAAATTCACAACAATACTCATACAAACACAAACTCTGTTCATGGCAGAGAATAAATTAATGATTTACAAAAAAAAACTCTTAAAACCTAAATACGCTCCGAAACATTAAAAACGCTGACAAAGCACTTGCTCCCACGAGATAATTAACTAATGAAATAAATAAAAAGCAACCTTATCTTTATGCTGTTAAAACTCAAGCTTATTTGCATAGTTGAAGTACAAAGCAAATAATGGTTCAGTGAACTTCTCTCTCACCTACCCAATTTTATAATTACAATGCCTAAACTCACTTCCTTGGCTAGACAGACAGGGACGGGTGCACGATCTCTCTGTTGCACCGCCGTCGAGGGTTGGCAACATCGGATAAAATATGCATAATAACAGTGATACCCCATCTCACCCCTATCTCTTGGCTACCAAGCTCGATGAATGCTTCTTGCAAGAAGAAAGATTTATATATCTTGGACAAAAAGGAATTAAAAAAAAAACATAAAGAATCGACTTCAAAATCAATAATTAAAAGTAAAACCGTAAAACAAAAAAAAATTGACGACCTCCGTGGCCGAGTGGTTTGTATGCCGGGTTTTTACGGTGTCGCCGACTCGATGACTGGAGTACATATGCTCGTATTCATCACATAAACATCTGCCCCCACCGGGATTTGATCCCGGGACCTCTCGAGTCGGCGCCACCATGAAACCCGGCGTACAAACCGCTCGGCCACGGAGGTTGTCATAAATATTATAGTCTAAATAAATTCTTATATATAAAATTCCCGTGTCACAATGTTAGTTACCACTTACCATACTCCTCCGAAACGGTTTGGCCGATTTTTATTAAATTTTATATGCATATTCAGTAGGTCTGAGAATCAGCTACTATCTATTTTTCATACCCCTAAGCCACAAGGGTTGTCCAACCATAACATTTATTTTTTGGACAATTTTTTATTTCTTTTATTTTTGTATAATGTGGAATTTTAAACTACATACACCCGCCGCTCCTATTTTTGAATACATAATAATACATTCCTATGACACGAAGTTCGCTAGGTCAACTATTATTTCACTATTATTATGATTCTAGGCGACTTCTTGCGTGGTAATATTGGTTTACCTTAAAAACCTTGAACCCCCGTTTTACCCGTTGAGGAGGTGACGTTTAGATAATCTTTCCTTAGAGTACGCCTACATCACCATAACTATCTATATATGGATGCCAAATTTCAGCGTAATCCGTTAAGTGGTTTGAGCTGTGCGTTAGTGCGTGCATTAGTCAGTAATGGTTGCCTTATATATATGTAGCTAATATATAAAAAGTTAAATATAGTACATTTCGCTCAAATACCAAATCTATAAATACTTAGTTATGTTATTGAGAATCCCACTCCATCATATTCCAAGTAAACTTTTATATTTTTCGGTAACCAATTCTTCCAAGATATACTCGAATATTCCCTTAAGACTGTCTCTGCTAATGCATATTGTTATGATAAGCCTACAACCACCCCCACTACACAGCTATCAATCTTCAGTTTCTGTTTTTATACCAATTGATCAAAATAAGAGATCAAATGCATAGATTCATAGTGAATTTCACAGTAGTTAATGTCACGTCAAGTACCTACAAAGTGAATCTTGTAAATCTGTTAAATTATGACAAATGGTTATTAAATAAACAAAAATGATACCTAACCCTAATGTCATTAAAACATTTCATACTGCTATCATTAGATTAGAGAAAAAATCAACGACATTTATGTTTTACTTAAAGTTGATGATTACTTACCACTTGTTGGGGGTGTGAGTATCTCACGAATACCTAAAACAAAGAGTAAAGATTCATAAGTAAAAATGCACATTTTTTTTTCGAACTGGCTTCGCAAGGCTTGTACATTTAGCCAATGTCAAGTGTTAAAATGTTTACAAATAATATAGCACTCGTGGTCAAAGTAATAAATCAAGTCAAAGTAAGTGGCAGTCAAGTCAATCCCCCTTTCCCTATGTTTCAGTAAAAGTGTAAGGATTTACTGGAACCTTCCCGTGGACTTCTTGAGGGAACGTCGAAAGACACTTTCCGCTATTTTTGGTTTCACTTGCCAACACTTGTGCATGTTCCCGAACGCTTAGTGGTTAATAATCCACCATTATTAGACACCAGCATCCGCCACAACACAATTTTTAACAAGAAAAGCAAAACTGCTAAAGTGACGCTTCCCGATCTCGCCAAAAAGTTATTTATAATATTAGTGCGGTAAATCAACCTTCTTACAACCTGGGATCCTTTAAATGAGGCGTGAAGAAGCAACATGCAGGCCGGCAGGGTGAGGACGGGTGGTGTGGCAGGTAGAACCGGTAGGGGTATACTACAGCGACCAATAATATTGCGATACTAGATTCGCAATATCACAAATTGGGGCGGCGATACTGCGCTACGGCATATTACACTGTCAATAATATCACGATATCGTTATATTATTGACAGTGTAATATGCTACATAGTGTGCACGCTACGTATGTCGTAGCCGTAGCCATACACGGTGTCGTAGCAGCAGCGGCGTCTGACATAGGTATTTGATTGATACGAGAAAACCGAAGGAACGCTAACAGATTGTAAATCTTACCAAAAGGACTTAGACCCGTATTATAGAAAGATTCTCAGTAATGAATCTTGAGCATGGTCAGAAAAGGATAATGCTATATATAACACACAGCGACATCCCTTTCTAACTGTATTCAAGTAAAGATCAACAGGGGAACAGGGAAGGTGGGATAAGAGAGAATAACTCCTCAGAACACTTGCCGTGGTACAAACGATAGAACGCGCTTATTGACACCACGTCACGGCGTAATTGAAGAGGCTCAAGGTGTTTAGTCACCTCCTCATTGCCTATGATGCGGATCGCGCGCCGCTGTAACCTATCCAAAGCATCGAGCAAGTACTTGGCGGAGCCATCGCAGATGTGCGAGCAATATTCCACGCAGGACCGCACTTGCGATGTACCCCTTACCTTCCATGCGTAACTGCGGGATCCAGTTTTGAGTCGCCGGTTACCCATTAAAACCCTGGGGTGTACCGTCACAGCCGTATCTGACGGTGTCGGATCCTTATCGGGAAGCAACCTCAACCCATAACCCTACCCTACCTCGTAGATCCATGGAACTTTACTCACCAACAGAAACAACACACATTAAAGATATTAAAGGAAGCAAATTGTATAAAATAACATAATCCAAATAGAGGACAAGTCCACATGATGATCTGTACCCTTAGCACGAACCAATATCGAATTCGTATTTGACAATGACATTTCGGACTCGCAAACGTTACGAATTCGATATTGGTTCGTGCTAAGGGTACTGATGTCACAAACACGTTCCGTTGCTTACGTGAATCGTTATGCAATTACGTAGATAGAAATGTCTGACTGTCACATTTGTATTAGGTCATCGACAATTTGACAGGTAGGTATGACAAGTACGGCCCACGCGTGTCTGTCGCTACCCACGCTCACTGAAGGTTATCGCGGAGCACTAGACAGTTCATGAATTATGTGTTTACGTTTCCATAATTATATTGATATAAGGTCCAGCTAATTGATCCACTCAATTGAGGAGCTCGATAGCGCAAGTGGTTAGCGCGTTCGGCTGCGATCGTTGAATTTAAGCAACTTTCGCAGTGGTCGGTCATTGGATGGGTTACCAAAAATTACTATCTCGAGCTCCACCGTGCTTCGGAAGGCACGTTAAGCCGTTGGTCCCGGCTGCATCTGCAGTCGTTAGCACCTTCCAATCTGCACTGGGCCCGCGTGGTGGGTCATGGCCCAATCTCCCTATTCCATCCATAGGGAGGCCTATGCCTCAGCAGTGGGGACATTAATAGGCTGATGATGAATGATGATGAATTGATCCACTTCACGCGATGTTATGGCGCAGGTGGTTATCGCTTTCGGTCTGTGAGTGTGGAAGTTAAGCAGCTTTCATAATGGCCAGTTATTGGAGGGGTCAGTCATTGCTCCCCCTTACAACCTGGGACCTCTTTAAAAGAGGCGTGAAGAAGCAACATGCAGGCCGGCTGGGTGAGGGTGGCTGGTGTGGCAAGTAGAACTGTTGTACCAGCTATTTTTGCGTGTGGACTTCACCGTCACTAAACTAGGTCATTTGCCGGGCCTATCTAAAAAAAAATTACCACACACTTATTATCTCAAGCTGATTCGTAAATTGGAAAGCTCGTGAAGCCGTTGGTCCCAGCTGAATCAGCACCCACCACTGGGCCCGCGTGGTGTGTCAAGGCCCTAATCTCCCTATTCCGTACAAAAGGAAACCCAGTGAAGACTTTAAGGCTGATAATGAATGAATGATGACGCAATATTAAATGCGTGGAGTCCAGTCGATGATGGTTCAAATTTCAACTAGATACCTTAACGCGTTCTTGAGAAAACATTGACATACAGATAGATAGACGGACCGACCGACCGAGTTTGATGGAAGTTTGATTTTTTTCACAGCGTCAAGAGACTGTAGATTTGAGTATATGGTTGAAATTTCAACTGGATATCTCCACGCGTTCCCGCGATAAATAGTCTTGACAGAAACAAGGACAACAAAGTTTTTTCCTTATTGCGAACCTAATCCTGAAAAATAAAATTTATACCTACCGTGGTTCTGAATATGCTATTATACTAATACTAGCAAACCAGTGAACCAAATGTTCACCAAAACCTGATTTAAAAAAAATGTATTTAATTAATTGAGAACTTCGGAGATTTTGTGTGGTTTCGTTTGAAATTCGTGATTTCTCGAAAACCGGAAGTGCTACGTTACTCAAATCCGGTTTGTAGTCTTATCAGACTATTCTTAACTTATAACTTAAACATTCTCTTTATCTATCTCTTACGGTTTGGCCGCTGAAACAGCACCACAGACAGACGGACGGACGGACTTGTCTAATAGATAAGAGATGATATAATAACGATTTTATGTCGGAAAATAAAGCTACAAAATAGATAATAACCAAAGATTTGAATTGGAAAAGTCATTGAGCCTTATTCCGTGCCTACCCAATAAGAAAAGTTCGATATACTAATATATTTTTTGCCCCAATATTCATTTTTTGCGAAGATAATTGACAATTTGGAGCGGATGACATCTCGGGCCTATCGTTTAATGGATGCCTCGACGGCGTTGTCCGCATAATCAACGCGATGCCACCGGCGATAATTCCGTTATCCTTCGTCGAACAAAGGGGCTCTAATATTCATAAATAAAAATTAGGACAATCTTGAGAATCTTTTTTTTTTATATTTCCAACACTCACACCATTTAGCCTAGCCCCAAAGTAAGCACTGAAAGGCTTGTGTTACGGGTTACTAGGGTAACGGATAGAATACATATACTTTACATATATAAGTATATTTATATAGAAAATACATATTAAACATCCATGACTGGAGTACAAATGCTCGTGTTCATCACACAAACATTTGCCCCCCACCGGGATTCGAACCCGGGACCTCTCGTGGCGGCGACACCATGAAACCCGGGGTACAAACCACTCGACCACGGAGGTCGTCAATTTATTCCCGCTCTCGTTCTTTTGAACTTCCGATGAACAATAAAACTTAAGGCTAAGGCGAAAATAGTTGAAAACATATGTAAATAGTCCTCGCAATAGGTAACTGCCTGCACTGTTTCCATATAATTAACAATCAAATAATTTAAACTGGTACATGAAAATCTTTTCGAAACTTCGATTGAACAAATTCAGTAAAATTCTTCAACGATCAAACTGAGTTTATAAAACATAAAATTAATTAAGTGAAGCACATTAATATTATGCGATAGCTATAATGAAAACATGAGGTTCGCTAAGCAATTTCGATGGCGATCTAAAGATGTTGCTCAACGAAGACAAATAGAATTTGAGTAGAGCATTGGAATACCGAAAAGTTCGGGGGTAGAAAAATATATTGATTTTACATTAACGACCAACGCCATTCCCCTGTTCTTGAAGATCTAATGACCTTACCACAGAATACAGAAACAGGTTAGAAGCGCCATGTGGGCGGGGCAGGTGCGCCACAGTTATGTGAGAGCAAATGCTCATAACTTGACCAAAACTTGATTGTGATTGCGTCGTTGCTCTCGGGTGTAAGCTGATGCTGATTGGTTGGATTGTTTGATGTCGGGCCGTTTGATTGGTTATTATCTATTAGATGGAAGTGTAGTGGGGGCGAGCCGGCGACATCGGTTCCCGTATAAACGGTCTAAGATCACCTTTCTAATCTTTCTGTGTTCTGTGGACTTTACCGACTGTACGAACTCAACGATGTTATGTTATTATAGCCCCTTGGTCTTTACGATGGTGGATGCTTTTCCCCAGGTATTTATTAATCATGACCATGAAGATACCAACAGTGGTTAAAAAGTCAACTGTATATTTATTTTAGAGGTGGGCGTTTTTCAGATAATTTATTAGTATTTTGTATGCTCTACCAAGGGCGAAACATATGGAACTTTTTATATATTACCAGCTGTAACAAACTATGTTTCATGCAAATAAACTTTCATTTCATTTCATAGAATAACCATGCGTAATAATGATGCCAGGTTTGGATGCGCGCATCCGATGCGACTGGATGCCGTTATTGGATGCCGATGCCATCTAGTTTTTGTCAACGTTACTATAGCAACAGTGCCACAAACTTATCTGTGACGGCGAAGATGTCGCTAGCGGTGAACAAATATGTCATGAAAATGTCACAATTCTATGGATAAATTGTAGTTCACATTTTCGCCACCGGCACTGAAAAGTTTGTGATA